CTTCTTCTGCTGAACTATCCACATCTACCGTTGGGTCTCCTATAACATCTGGTTCTAGCCCATTTGTCTCTTTTAATCCAGGCGTCAGCCCAAACCAATCTGTCTCATCAGAATCAGATGCACTAAACATCTCTCCATCACCTCCTGTTGACACAGTGGTAGGCAATAGTCACCCAATGATTACTCGTTCCAAGGCAGGAATTTTTAAGCCCAAACAGCCATTTGTTGGCTTAACTCAAAAAGATCCTTTATGTCTACATACTACACCATCTTCTGTCCCTCAAGCTTTGTCCTTGCCTCACTGGAAAGCAGCTATGACTACAGAATACAATGCTTTGATTCGTAACAGGACATGGGATTTAGTTCCATTTCATCCATCATATAACATTGTTGGGTGTCGGTGGATTTTTAAGACTAAGCTCAATCCAGACAACACTGTTGAACGCCATAAGGCTCGTCTCGTTGCTAAGGGATACTTACAAGAACCTGGTATTGATTTTGGTGAAACTTTTAGTCCTGTAATCAAACCAGCCACAGTTCGAGTTGTTCTTACCTTGGCAGCATCTCGTGACTGGGAAGTAGTACAACTTGACATCAATAATGCTTTTCTTAATGGACTGCTTACTGAAACAGTTTATATGCATCAACTTGCTGGTTTTGTTGATTCTCATAAGCCTACACATGTTTGTCGACTAAAGAAAGCATTATATGGGTTAAAACAAGCACCTCGTGCTTGGTTCGATAGACTTCGCACAACACTACAGTCATGGAACTTTCTTAACAGTAAGAGTGACTCATCTCTATTTTACTTTCAAAATGCAAAGCAAATTTTAATCATTCTCATTTATGTTGATGATATTTTGGTGACGGGTAGTAATCGAATCAACATGAAGAAATTTGTTGATCAACTAAATGCATTATTTTCCTTAAAGGTTTTAGGACCTATACGCTATTTTCTTGGAATTGAAGTTACTAGAGATGCTTCTGGTTTTCATCTAAATCAAGGGAAGTACATTGATGATTTGCTGCACAAATGGAATTTTGGATTTCTGTCCTCCTGTCCAACTCCTATGTCAACAGGACATAGCTTATCTAAGTTTGATAGTGCACCGCTTAACAATGGTGATAGTGTTGCATATCGAAAGATCGTTGGGGCACTTCACTATCTGGCTAATACAAGACCTGATATAGCTTTTGTAGTTAGCAAACTTAGTCAGTTTCTCTCTTGTCCAATGGTCTTTCATTGGCAAGCTATTAAACGATTGCTTCGGTATCTTCATGGAACCATCAATCTCAGTCTTCATATCAAGAAGTTAGATTGCTTAGATTTTGTTGCCTTTTCAGATGCTGATTGGGCATCTTGCCCAGATGATTGACGATCTACAGGAGGCTATTTTGTTTTCTTTGGTGATTCTCTTATTTCATGGTCTTCAAAGAAGCAAACTGCTGTTGCTTGATCAAGTGCAAAGTCAAAGTATCGGGCTCTTGCTCATATGTCTTCTGAATTAATATGGCTCAAGTCTCTACTAACAGAATTGGGTCTTCATCTCCATCGTCCCTCTACCATCTGGTGTGACAATATTAGTGCAGCTGCCTTAGCATCCAATCCTGTGTTTCATGCTTGTACAAAACATATTGAAATTGACACTCACTTTGTTAGAGATTTAGTTCTCACTCAATAGATTACCATTCACTTTGTTCCTTCTTATGATCAGATTGCAGATGTTCTTACCAAACCTTTGTCCTCAACTCGTTTCACCCTTTAAGAAACAAACTTGGGCTCACTGTGATCACCTCTCGTTTGCGGGGGAATGATAAAGATATTAAGCCCATTGAATCAAAGCAACCCAAGAAGAAGAAGAAGAAGACAGTAAAGCAATCAGTCCAAGCTTTATAATTGTCGTGGGCCAATGTTCCTGTTATTCCTTTCTCTTGATTCATTTTATTCTTTTATTGTTTTTATTCTTTCTGTAATAATGATGTGTCAATACCGTTGTAACAAATTCTGCTATAAATCCAATGATTGCACAGTCTCTCATCACTGATTTTGTGAGAGAGAGCATTATTCAGAATTCTGTTTTGTAGAATATTAACTTCCATAAGAGTGGTCCATAGGATCCAGATGCCTCCTAAGAATCCAAGTGCTTCAACTCTGTGAGCATGGAAATTCAAGCTTCCTAATGACTTAGCTTGAATACCAGAAATCCTGGTTCCTACAATAACAAAAATTTCAGCTTTATAATTAGCAGCATAAGACTTGACAATTGAGGGAAGCCTTTTATGTAAGGCTCCTTGACAATTCCAAGTGATTATTGACATAAAAACATATAGAGATTAGTGCTCCGGAGACGAGCTGAAGTCTACTCCTTCGACAAGCATGGCGACTGCCTTGCTGTTTCCATCTTGGCCTTGCTCCTGCCGGACACTCCTTGCTACTTCTTTCAAAGCACGTACAGATGGGCCTAGTGTGATGCCACTAGACCTTCTTTCCAGGTTCTGGGCTCGCAACCTTGGCAATAAGTTAAGGCCTACTTTGTTCTCATTTGGATCTGGAAGCTTAGGTTGGGGTTCAACTGGGTTTGTGAATGGAGACTGGTCAATTAGGCTGTGATTATGACTCAATGCGTTTGGTGTCTCGGCAATCGAATGAAGTTTTTGAGAGGTCCGTTCGTCATGGATCATGGCCACTTAGTGTTGGGCCTTATCAAGGGATGTTTGAAACTTGGAACGACTGGTATGCCGATGAATGAAAGATACTTTCCTTGTTTTGGCCCATTACATGAGGCCCATTTTGTCTTTGTTCTCTTTCACTCGTCCTTAGGGCTTTTGTCTCCTTTTGCTTTCGTCTAGAGGTGCTGGCATTACCATTGTCCACAATTCTGACATAAACATACACTTCGTGCTTCGACTTGTCCACCTCCTCTACATTAAGCAGAGCATCAAACCTTGATAGTGTAGCAAAACCTTTGCCCCCACTGCCTTCCTCCTTTTCACGTAACGGTTGTACCTTTATACAGGAATGGGTGCATGCATCCACATTCCATGCTTTGCCTTGGTTCAAGTTTCATTGCGGGGTGGCGAATTGCCCTCTTCCAGCGCTGGCGTTGTCTTTGAGGTTGTTTCTGTTCTTTTTTTCGGGTATTATTCCTCTAAATGGCCATAGCGACCATAGTGAAAACAAATTTGGGGAAGGCCTTCATACTCAACATAGATAACTTCGCCATTCTACTGTTATCTTCGAAGTCAATGGTTTTGTAAGGTCAACAGTAACAGCTAACCTTCTAAATTTTCCTGTCACCAGAATCGGTGTTATAATCAACTCGTATAACTCATCAAAAAACACCACCAATGGAACGTATGATGTTCTTATGGTAGCATCTTGCTGGTAGTCCAGGAAGTCGGATCCAGCCTATAACTTGGTTAATGACATGTTCTTGCGGCTTGAACGATGGTGTCCATGGCTGCACTGATAAATAATGACAAAATTAGCCATGGCCTGTGAACATAACTTTTTGGTAATCCTGTTCATCCTTAAACTGGACGAGGAAGCACTCCTCATCCAAGTCCATGAGTGATATTGTCCCATTGTCCTCCAGATATTTTGCAATTGCGTTTTTAGTTGTTTGTAACCGATATGACGACCCAAGAGCTTGATGATGACCGTGAATCCCATCTTTTAGTTGAGGACTTTTCGAACCTTTTTTGAGAAGTTAATCAAGGGAATCCCTTCATTTTGGCCATATACAACGTCTACTTGTTCGAGGCTAATGTCTCCTTCCTCCTTCTCCTTGTTGCTTCCTTGGAGTAGCTTATCTTTAAAGGAGGGTACTGCATTTGATTGCTTCGTCTCAGTCATTGTCATGACTACATCTGTCATCTCCTGAGTTTTTGATACCATTTCCTATGAAAGGGAGTCAATGGGTTGTGTTTCGTCACCAACGGATGGGTCTAACCATTCAGCATCCATAGCATCATCGTGTTCATGATCCTCTGGTCATATTTTCACCTTCTTCGTTGAGCGATCATCATCAGGATGTGGAGGTGCTTTATCTTTAGGATAGCTCTCAAAAGAGACAAAGCGTTCAGAGCATTCCATCTTTTGGTCCTCGCAAAATCTCACCACCAAGCCAATAATATCTTATATTTAATCTCAATCATTGAAGTTGAAATTCAAGGGTAAGGAAAATGTACATTACTTCTTTAGATTGCTTCAAAATGGAATATAGGACATTGAGTCCTCTTGATATTAAGATTTAAGTTAAAAATGACATTTAATCTTACTTTTAATATTAAAAATTGATGAGTGAGATTTAAATAAATTGAAGACAAGAGATACGAATCAAAATCGATTAGAAAGTGTGATTATGGTGACATCTTTATTTTTATCCTGAATTAGATTTGCATTACATTGGGTTGAAAGTGAGAGGGACTACAATTAATTATGTCCTTATCATAAATTAGAGTAGGTTATCTCCCACAACTAGAATCCAACCACGCTAGGTTGGATTGAATCCAAAACTTAGGCCTAGTCTAATAGGTTCAGTACAATCTATATTTTGACCTAAATTTAGCCGAAGTGATAATTTAGTAAGAGATTTTAATAAGGGTTAATTTTAATTTAAAATTAATTGGGTTAAGGGTAGTTTAACTTTTAAGCTAGGTCCAAGAATGTCTTAGACTCCAAACTTATTTTTAAAACAATATTTTCATTTAATTTTTAAAAACGGTATAATATTATTATTACCATTTATAAAAATTAACTTTAATTATTAATTGATAAAAAAAGTACAAAAAAATCTTAAAAATTATAGAAAAAAATTTTAAAAAAATTACAGACAAAATTAAAAAAATTACAAAAGATTCATTTTTGTCAACAAACAATTAAAGTTAACATTTATTAATAGTAAGAATAATATTGCATCGTTTTTAAAAGTTAAAAGAAAACACTAAAGCGAAAAAAGAATTTAGGATCTTGAGCGTTTTTGGATTTATAATTCAGGAAAAAATTTATTACCTAACCAAATTAAGTAAAATTGGGCCTTATAAAGTGGCATTGTCATATCACCTAAAGCATACAAATATTAAAGATGACACATCAAATTGAGAGAACCAATTTGTACCCAACAACAAAAAGAGCAAAATAGTTCTCAATCCAGTCTCACCTGATTAAGTAGAGGCTTACTTGAGAAAAATGCCTCCAAATTGGCAGCCACTAGTTGGGAAATCCCCATTTTAGATTCTGTAGTGAGGGCAGCAGCATGAGGAGACAAAACCACATTGTCCAATTCAAAAAGCTCTTGAGGAACATGAGGCTCTTTCTCAAACACATCCAAACCAGCTCCTCCAATCTCTCCTTTCACCAAACAGTTCACCAATTCTTTCTCATCTATCAGACCTCCTCTTCCAATGTTCACAATGATTCCTTCTCTTCCCAAAGCCATCATCACTTCCCTGCTCACCATATGCCTCGTTTGTTCGTTCAGTGCACAACAGAGAACAAGTGCGTCACTAGCAGATGCTAACTCTGCAATGCTTTCATAGAATGAGTATGACACAAGTGGCTTCTTGTTCTTTGAGGTGTACGATATGATGCAGCCAAATGCTTCCAGTCGTTTTGCTGTCTCCATGCCTATGCTTCCGAGGCCTACAATCCCAACTCGCTTGCCTCTAAGCTGAAACAGAGGATTTATTTTAATTTGTTTGGCTTGCAAAGTGAAACAAGATATCAAAAGAGCATGTCATGATTTCATGTTTGGTTGGAACTTTTTTTTTTTTTTTGCCCTCTTTTGGGTAAAGGAGCATATTAATCGTTAAACTATAAGTTCAAGAGCATCTAATATTCTAAACTCTTTAACTTTAAAAAACAGTGCAATTCTCACCCCATTTTTTGTTGTAACTCACTCTCTAAATCTTCGCTCGAAGCAACTTAATTAGTCTCTATAATTTTAGCTAGTAAAACATTAGTTCTTAAATTTCAAGAAATAACTTTAATCTTTGTAGTTTTATTTTTTAAAATATAAAAACTAATATTTTAAATGGTTAAACATATAGGGACTAAATTAAACTGATTTAAAATTTAAGAACAAAGATACAACTAAATTAAATTATAGAAACTAAGTTACATTAAATTAAAAGTTAGAGATTAAGTTACACCCTATTTAAAATTTAAAATTATATGGACCAAATCATTACTTTTCTCTAAAAATAACTTAGGTAAGTTAGGGCCATTTGTTTCAACTTAAAAAATAAATTATTTTTATATGTTTTAGACATTTAATAAAGTGAAGAAATTATCTTGCACTTGTTTACAATTATATAAAACTGATTTTTATTTAATAGTTTAAAATATTTATGATATTTTCGTGAATTTTTATTTATAAAAATAATTTACTTTTTTATTTTTTAAATTTTATAATATTTTCAAATTTTTATAATATTATCTTTTATCTATTATATTTATTATTTTCATAACTTATCAAAATAAACAAAAAATATTTTCTATTTTTTAACATTTTTATTATTTTCAAAATTTTAAAAATTATAAAAAAACTTTAAAAAAATCAGTGATTTTTCAAATAAAAACTTTAACAAACATACTTTAAATTATAGATTAAAAAATAGAATATACGTGAAAATTGTTAAAATCATACAATTTTAGTCAAGTACATGTATTATTTATTTAAGTGTTGTATTTACTAATTTTACATTTAAAATATTCTAATCTATATAGAACCACTGTCCACTTTACACGCGAAATAACAATTTTATAATTATTCTTTTAGCAGCTTGCTGAAAAGTACACAAATAATTTGAAACTAATTTGTCATTGTAAAATTTTATTTTTAAGAAAATAGATATACACGTACGTTAACAATTTAATAATCTTAATGTGAAAAATTTTACTTAAATCTCAACCATACTTTTTTTCAATTTTACATTTTAAATATTTTAAGAAAATACATTTTTACCAACATTTTAAGAAAATACATTAAGTACATTTAAAAGGGTATTCCAAGAAATAGAGAGTTAAGTGACAACAAAAATGAATGCAACAGAAAACAAATATTACACATAAATTTTTTTTATCAAATAATAACATAAATTTTACACATAATGAAATACTTACATTCCTATACAATTTTTTTTTTTAACTGAAGATTCCTATACAATTTTAAACGTATGAATTTTTAAGTATAAAATATAAAATTTATAATAATATATGTTATATTACACAACATGCTATTTATTTACTCCATCTGTTAAAAAATATAAAATTTTTAATCAAATCTCACCCTCAATAAAGTAATCTCACCCTCAATAAAATAGTTACATGCTTTCTAACTAAACTTATCTTTTCATATTTATCCCTGTTAAACACCTTACAATAAATATTGAGTCATTATCAATAGGAATACTTTTAGAAAAAAAAATAATGATTACATTTGAAGAGATTAAAAATATCTTATATTTTTTTTATATTCAACTTCTCAAAAAGTGTCTTGCATTTTTGAATGGAGAGAGTATATCTTATGATAATATTTTTCGTTTTTGTTAAAAATGTTAAAAAATCTAAGTTGGAAAAGGGAAAACCATTTTGCTGGTATCCATATAGTTTTCCTTAATTTTTAATTTAGAACCTCTTTTTTTTTTTTTTTTTAAATTTCCTCCTTCAACTTTTTTCCGTCAAACGCATAACACCTGTAGAAGTGTACATTAGAAAATAGCTAGAGGGAACCCGTACATGTGTACATTGGAAAATAGCCAGAGAAACCAACGGAGTAGAAGACGACGTAAGTCTTCTCCTCACTCACTGTCGGTTGGAACACTTGACATGTGGGAAGATCGTTCTCCTCAACACCAACATAACAGTCAAACATTGCAGACGATGCTAAATCTGAATTCTGAAACGTTGAGACTGGGGAGAAAATTGAAGACGCACGTAATTTTGAAGGCAGCGTTTTTTTGTTTGACGAAGTCAACGATGAAAATATAACGCAAGATCGATTTCTTACCCGCTTTCATGGAGGAGTCAGTCTGAGCCTGAGCAACATTTCTTGCCATGGCAGTGAGCAGAGCGATCTCATGCTCCGTCGCAGCAATGGCATTCGCCGTCGGCGCATTAACGACGAGACATCCAAACTCCGTCGCAACTTGCAGATCCACATTATCAATCCCCTCTCCAGCTCTACCCTTGGCAGCCTCAAACACTAGCCTGCCTCGTCACCTTCGCGCCGCTTCGAACAATCAAAGTATCAAGCAATGCCATCTTCGAGCAGAGCAGAGCAGAACAGAACATTCAACGTGCGCAAACTCTCTCAACACTTGAAGGACAGAGTCTCCGACATCCTTGGAGACCAAAATCGTGGGTTTGGGACCCAAAGAGGAAGATTCAAGAGCGACGTTGGAAGTTAAGATAGAGGACTGAAAAGGAAGCAGCGTCGATAATGGCAAGAGAGCTTGAGGGAAGTTGTGGATATGGAGGAAGCAGAGGTGTTGTAGAAGAAAGAAAGAACAGAGGATTTTGAGTTCGACGGTGAACAAAAATGCAACCTATGTTTTTAACTAATTAATCCAGAATATGTTTTAATCAAAACACGCATAATTGGGGTTTTCCCTTTTCAAAATTGAAGGAGGAAATAAAAAGTTAAAAAAGAAAAAAAAGAGGTACCAGATTAAAAATGGTTTCCCTTCTCAAATTTAAGAAAGCCAAAATCTACAATGATCCCGGAAAAAGCAAAATTGAGGCCATATCTATTATTGACAAAAAAATAAATAAATAAATAATAAAACGAAAGGAGAATCCTGGAAAAACCTTGAAGCTCGTCGGAAAATGGAACGCGCCAGACCTCACCCGAGACCGAACACGCCGAGCGGCTGCCGAAATATTGGCACCGACATCGATCAGCAAACCTACCGCCATATCGGCAACATCCTCCGAGTACACATTTCCGGCACTTGTGACCTGAATTCCACGGTGGCAGCACTCTGCCAAGTCAATGTGGTCCAATCCGGCGCTGCAGGAGACAACGAGGCCGAGCGATGGAAGAAGCCGGAGGATCTCGAGAGAGACGGGAGATTTGGCGCCGGAGAGAATGGCGCGAATGGATGCAGGATCACGATCGTCGGCGGTGAGAAATTGGTGTAGCGGAAGAGAGGAGGTGTTGGGGTCAAGGAAATGGAACTTGTGAGAGTAAAGGGATTTGATGAATGGGAAGCTAATTGGAGGACCGAGAACAAGCACTTGTGGGAGGTCTCTGGGCCGTTCGTCATTCGCCATTGGCGACGGCGGATGAAGGTAAAAACAGGAAAAAGACTGAAGAGTGAAGGACAGATAATTAGTATCAGTGGTCGGGCTTTAACAAGGACACGAGGTTGGAGCTAGTGGTGGGACCTTTTACTTTTATTATTATTATTATTATTATTTAATATTTTATAGAGGTTGAAAAATTTACAATAAAAATTTAATAAAATAATTTATAAATATAATTAAAAAAAATTTGCTCTATAAATAACATTAAAAGAGCGTAAAAAAAGGTGGTGATTGGTGAACCTTGCAATAACAAGAGGAACATGAAAACAATTTATTAAAGGGGACAATATTTATAATAAATATAAATGTCAATTTTTTTAAAAGATACAATTCTAAATAGGAAAAATTAGAGAAAGGGACCTAGTTGAAGCCAAAATTATGCCTACGGATCAAAATTCATGAAAGGATCAAGCATATTATTTCATTCATAAAATAATTTGATCCAATGACCAAAATATCCCTCCCTATTAACTAAAAAAAAAATTAAGGAAAAGGCACAAAATTTGATCGTCGAAGCTCCAATACTTGACAGCGCACTTGCCAAAGCTCTTGTCGGTAGGTGAAGGGTCGCCAAAAAATATCACCAAAAAAATTCAAAACCTCTTGATTACATGTAATCATCAAGGATTACATTGAAACCCAACAACTAAAGGGTGCAAGGCATCTGACTTAAAGTATAAGGCTTCTGGCTTAAACAATTACATGTAATCTCTAGTGAATTACATGTAAATCAAACATAAAGAGAGCATCTCTCGTCAATCCCTTAGAACTACATAAAAACAACTATAGATTATATATAAATCAAACACACAAAGAGCACCCCTTATTAATCCCTCAGAATTACATGAAAATGATAATGGATTACATGTAAATCAATAGATGAAGAAACTCGTGAGCATGACTAAGGAATGATTTACATGTAATCTCTAGTGGAGTACATGTAAATCAAAGACACAAAGAGCACGCCCCTATCAGTGCTCCTAAATTACATGAAAATGGCTATGGATTACATGTAAATCAATATATAAAGAAATTCATGTGCATGTCTGAGGAATAATTTACACATAATATCTAGCGAATTACATGTAAATAATTTTCAATGCCCCTGAATTATATGAAAATTATGAATTACATGAAAATGACTAAGTTAGAAGCTTTACACCTTAAACCAGATCCATTGCACTCAAGTTATACCCTTTGCCCTCAAATCATACCCCTTACACCCCAAGTCATAATGAGTGTGCCTTAAGCTAAAAGCCTTGCATCCATAAATCAATTGTATGAAACATTTTTCTTAAATTTTATATTGAATCATAAATGCCATGCTTGATAGCTTTCAACTAAATCTAAGGTAACAAAAATGAGTAACACAATGAGGAAAATTTATTTTGATAGCCACTGAACAACTAAATATTTACACTTTACCAAATAAAAAAAATGCCATAAATTTGGTTTGGAGAATAAGAAGAAGAAACTGGTCCCTGTTAAGCTATAATAGAAAAAGAAGACTCACTATTTGACCCTCCAAGCTATGCCACATCATCAACAAAAAAGAAGAAACCAGTATCAAATGCGAGGATCTATTACACTACCACCACAAGCAAAATGCTAGCCATTAAATAACAAATTGCTATTAGCTAGACTTGAATTGGAAACAACCTTTGGTTGATACATTTGTTATTTAACTGACAGTAGTAAAATCAAAATTAACGAAATGAGCCATAAGAATTAACAAAAATTTTACATAATCACAAGCATCAACTTACAAGTATGGCCTAGAGAAGCAACATTATGAAGAGTTATTTAAAATTTTTTAAGTTGAGAAATGCATACTTCTCGAAATATTAGCAAATATGACATTTAGTTAATCATTAAATTAGGAATACAAAGCATCAACATAATCTAAATAACAGCACAAATGGCTCATGCACCAATTTAACATGATTTCCAAGGCCCAAACTAAAAATAATTCACAACTAGAAGAGAGAAGGTTATGTACAAGAGAATAGGTTCAAGGGCTTTATCAAGCAATAACTTCACAGGCAAATAGGTAACTAACTTGGCAGTAAATATATAAATATGAAATTTAAGAAGGAATTGCAAACTACATATTGCATATTCACCAATTCAATTTTAAGCCATAGACCTTAGGGATGAAAGAAAAGGCAACATCAATGATGGTCAAGCATTTGTCAACAAAGAAACTCATTAGCTTTTTATATAGAATCCATTAAAGATCTACCATCAACATCATTGGGGGAAAAACAAAAAAGTTCTCTTATGCCTTGCCTAACTAAGTGTTGACTCATAGCTAGCTTTCTCCAATTTTTTAAGAGTACATTTTTGTAGTTTGTCATTCTTATCTTCACTTTCCCTTCCAGTTAAAGCTACATCTTTGCCTTCTATCTCTTTAGAAGATTCTGAATTTTTAAAAGTATTTTGTATCTTAGCAATGGTTTTGGATGTTATCTCGGCAACAACAATAGCCTATCTTGTAAGGGGGAAAAATTGTAAGTAGAGAAGCAAAATAGCATGATAAAATGGCATTGAAAAGAATAATAAATTCCAAATTGAGTTACAAAAGGGCTAACACTAAATACATTTTTGGATCTTTAAGTTTTCATATAAACCCCAAAACACTAATAGAGTTAAAGAAATGCAATTGACTCTTATTTCACCCAATCAAAACCAAATATACAAGTATAAGGTGCTTATGCTTTGAACTCATACATATGCATCAGCATTAATTCTTCAAATCTGATTCAACAAGATTCAACTTTCATACCATAGAATGTCCAACAGATGCTATGTGTATCCTTTCTCCTTCTTGTTAATCAGTGCTCTCATAACAAGGAAGAGAGAAAGATCACTGCAAAGCTGAGAGAGACTATCTGAACTCCCCTTAATCGCTAGCACTCTAAAGAACGACAAGGGTGAGAGAGAGTAAGGAAGAATGAAAAATGGTGATAGGGAGAGGGAGAGAAGCAAAGACAAACGCAAACAGTTGATGGAGAAGGACCCAAATCCAAGATACTGAAATCTGGATTGGCCATTAAATTGATCGAGATCAAGGATGAGGGGTTCAACTAAGGTCGAACCAAAGTCAAAACAATCATAATAAAATCAGGGAGAGAAGCAAAGACAAATGCAAACAGTTGATGGAAAGGGACCCAAATCCAAGATATTGAAATCTGAATCGGTCATTAAACCAACTGAGATCAAGGATAAGAGGTTCACCCAAAGTCAAACTAAAGTTAGACCAGTCATGATAAAATAATATAATTTAAATAAAAATACAATATTCATGATTTAATATCTCATACAATACCACATACAAGTACAACAATCATCAAAACATCATTAACAACACCAACAACATTTCAAATTTTCATTTTATAATCCTTCAATCATCAAAAAGTGTAAAACTAAAAATAATCATTCCAACAATTATAGCATAAAAGACTTTAATATGCAAACCAACAATTACAACAAGCTCAATTTCACAATTACAGCAAGCTCGAATTTCACAATTACAGCAAAAATTCAGCATAAAAGACTTCAATTTGCAAACTCCCACTATAAATAAACAAACCATACAAAATTCAAAAAACTTAGATTCACAACACACTCAAATCAAATTAGTACAGAACTTGCAGATAAATCAATAGAACGAGTAAGGGAGAAGGTTTGATTAAAAAACTTGTAGTTTGCAAAGAAGAGTCAAGGCAACAATTGATGGGCATTCAGGAGGACATGCTTCACTGGTATGCATAAAAGAATGTGAAAGAAATGAAGATTAATTTTAGTCAAAACTTGTAGATTGCAAAGAAGAGTCAAGGCAACAGTTGATGCGCATTCAAGTGGAAGATGCTTCACTGGTATGCATAAAATAATGTAAAAGAAATGAAGTTTAATTTTAGTTACTTTTGGAGAAACATGCACATTCAGGTCTTACATTCAAGGGAATTATATATGGTATGATTTTTCTTTAGTTGTTCTATTTCTTTTCATGATCCGTACTTCTTTTACAATTCATTTTCTTTGCATTAAGTCATTACTTAGCTAGCTAAATCAATTACTCACCTGAATCGAGTGGGAAATGAAGCTGTGTTGAGTCGTTTGCAACAAACTGACGAAGGTGAATTAGAGTCAATGCCGAACACCGAATGTTGAGGGCGAGGAGAAAGACGAAGGAAATGAGAACGCCGACAGCGAGAGCTAAGAAATCAAACAAAAAGAAGAACAAAATGAGAAGCAGGGGTGTCGGAAAACATCTCTGATCTATATGTTTTCTCCCAAGGCATTTTGGTCAATTCCCTTACTCATTTTCTGAATAAAATAATTAATTTGATCTTTCAAAAATATTTGGTCCTTGAGATGATTTACTTTTTAACCTGATCCTTTTTATTAATTTTTCCTTCTAAATATTATTTAAAGTAATATATAAATAAATTATATGAGAAGTTTAAACACATATATTAAATTTATTAGTATGATAAATTTATTTTTATAATAAATGAAAAAATAAAAAATATTTTTAAATATATGTGCTTAATCATTTTAAAGATAATGTGGAAGAATTGCAATTTTAGGGAAGGCAAGTGCAATTTCAAATATATATATATATATATATATTTGTAAAGAATTTAAGGGGGAGGGGGTGTTAAGTTTTTTCCTCATTTCGTGGGGGACAATTGCCCCCTCTATCTTCAAAGCGGGCGTGTCCCCGGTGGAGCGCCTTCTGCCCATTCACGTGCAAAGTGAAATATTGAAAAAGTTTAAAAAAATTAAATAAATATATTATTTGTAAAACATAATAAATAAAATTTACAATATATATAAGGACAAAATTGGATGTCTCAATATTTAACTCTGTATCCCATCTTGTCCTGACTCCATTTGTATTTATTTAAATATTAACAAAAAATCTTGAAAGTAATTTAATTTTTATCAAAAAAATTGCTAATAAATAAACATTAATAATAAATAAGTGAAAATAAAGTTTTTATTTTAACAAGTATTCAATTCATCTATATTTTTAAAAATTTATTAAACTATTCTTCCTTTTTATCTGGTCCCTGGTGTCTCGTATCAAAATTTTTTAACCAACTAGTATTAAGATTCCATAAAAAAATCCTTGCCCCAAACAGATTTGGATCTAAATTTTCATAATAGATTTTGTTTGTAAAGAAAATAGATATAATAAGTAGCATAATAAATTTAATTTTGTTAGCGTTATAATTTTAGTCAGATCTAAATCATACTCTTGTTTTATTTAATTTTACATTTAAAATATTTTTAAGATGTAAAATACATGAAGTATATTTAAAAGTTATTCAAACATGTAAAGAGGATAAAAGAAATAAATATTACACATAACCAAGACATTACATTGTTAGAAATTTTTTTAACATGCGATTTTTTTTGCAGAAAAACATATGAATTTTTAAACATAAAAATAAAATTTATAATAATATGAATTATATTAAAAATAATTGTATCTATTTATGAGTTATATGAAAATATCCTTTATTTTGTTGGGTAATTTAGCAGAATTAGTCCTAAACTGTAAGCTTAGAAGAATATGAAATATTAAACTCATTTTTTATAATATTTTATTTTAATTTTTTAAAAATAATACAATTTGACTTTTACTATTGATAAAAATTAAATTTAATTATTATTTAATTATAAAATAATAAAAAATAATTTTAAAAATTACAAAAAAATAAATAAAATTACAGTAAATAATCCAAAAATTATAAACAATCATTAAAAAAATTTAATAATCAAAAGTAATTTTTATTAACCGAAGTTAGGTTGTATTATTTTAAAAAAATATTATATCAAAATATAAATTTAGAATTTCGTACGTTCGTGGATTTGTAGTTGAGGCGGATACTTTTTCATTTAAACCTATTTTGTTGGGCATAAAAAGCATTTATAATTTAAAAATTTAAAAAGTTATTGGACAACAAAGGTGGATCCTTGCTTTATTTGACACGTGAAAACATGCCCCAAATTAAAATAATAAAAAATTATCAACAGATGAAAGGAATCCGGGAAGAACCTAGAAGGCTGTAGGACATTTGAACGCACCGGACCCGATGCCGTATGCGCCGATTCGCCACCGAAATTTTCGCGTCAACGTCTGTAAGCAAACCTATAGCCATATCGGCGACATCTCCGAGTACAACTTCCTGGCACTGGTGACCTGGGTTCCACGGCGATGGCACTCGGCCAAGTCAATGTGGATCACTCCGATGCTGGAGGCGAGGACGAGGCCAACGGAAGGAAGAAGCCATAGGACCTTGGCGGAGATGGAAGCGGTGGTGCAGGTGAGAATGGCGCGAACGGACGAAGGGTCATGGTTGTCGGCGGTGAAAAATTGTTGCAGAGAGAGAAGAGGTTTTGAGGTTAAGGAAGTTGAACTTGTGAGAGCAAAGAGATTGGATGATCGGGAAGCTAGTAGGAGGACTGACGCTTAAAAGAAGAAGAAGAAGAAGAAGAAAATGAAAATGACAAGGAAGGATTTTATAATAAAATTAATATTAAATTAATAATTTTAATATTGAAATATGAGAGAAAGAATATTAAATGTATAAACTTTAATATTGAAAAAATTATAATTTGATATTAACTTTTTTTTTTCCAGTTCTTTACCCGTCATTCTCCTTAAAAAATATTTAGTAGTGGTTCTGAAATCTAAAGGTACCTTAATAACAATTGAAATAGCTACTATCATTAACCTTGGTAGCGGTTCCACAAATAATAATTATATGAAGCATAGCATACAATATAATAATGGTTCATAAAGCGTGGCGAGTAATATAACAGCACTTTTCTCTTGTCAAAAAACAAAAAAACAAAAAACACACCCAAACACACATAATAGCAGTTTTTCAAATTGCTATTACCATAGTCAAAACGCTACAAGCAATGCGGCTATTCGGATAAATCACTATGCTTAAACCAAAACAAAATCTCACTCAAAATTTTATAGATCAGTTTTAATTTTTAACGAGGAAGTAGTAGTAGTTCATGGAACTGCTATATGACAAGTGAAAATTTAAAAAGTGCGTCAACGGTTCTCATAACAGTTCCTGAACAACAACTTGTGGGAGATTCGCCGTTGACTACAGTGGAAGAAGAATAAAAGGAGCAAGATCTGAGAGAGGAAAAAAAAAAACAAAAAGAAAAGAAAAAGATAGATAAGGTTCATAAGCATCGGACTTGAAAAAGATGTTGGTGTTTTTGGGTGCCACTCTAACAGTGTTCTGCCTCTGCTTTGTGGGGGTCCTTTAGAAGAGCTATGCTTTCTAACACAATACACTTGCAAGTAGCAACAGCCAACAATGTTTGATCAGGTATTGCGAGATACTAGATAATCATGTTTCATCACGTGTTTAGTCATGAGACAAACAAATAAATATGTCGAATGATAATTCAAACGTTAAGACTTTTGATATTCCATTCAATAAGTGTAATGGAGGAATTTGTTGTAATTTGACAGGATTTGATTTGTCACCATTTTACCCGGATTTTTTTCATGGCATGTTATTAAAAAAAACTAATATTTGAATATTACTGCTTTATCTTAATTCTTGTCAATTTATAATAAGAAAATAGAAATATGGAAATAGATAGAATCCATCGTAAATATAAAACATTTTTTTTTTAAATTATATACTTCAATGTATACAGTATTTTATGAAATTTTAAATATAATTAATATCTTTTTACTTTTTTTGGGTGAAATTTTACTTAAATTTTTTTAGAAGTATATTAAAATTACTTTTCTCTTATTAAAAATAAATAATTAATAGTCCACCTACTTCAAAATATTTCATTTGGTCCTATTATAAAATTGATAGGCAATAAATTTTTGGTTCTATTTATAAAGCATGTGTTCTTCACAACATAATAAAAACAAAGTATGCCAGAGACGATGAGTCTTACAAATAACAATAGCGTTTTCAAGCTCTTTTTTTTTCAGTTCACCCGAATGTAAAGATATAAAGAGATTGGGATAGTAGGTGTCTTTTTTTTTTCTTTTTTACTAGTGATATAAATCACAAAGTTACATTGATTACAACTTGGAGACTAGAAATAAATTTAAGCCTAAATTGGGAATACAATATAAATAACTTAGAAAGTAAAATGGGTTCTAGTGAACTGTGTCTATTTTTTTTACGATATTCCTAACCTCGATGGTTCACTTGAATTCTTGTTATAAATGCTCATCTCAAACTGTTATGCTTCAAAGATTAGAAGCCCATGTGCGAAATATTGGATGAAGGGAAGACAAGGAGTACCCACTAGTGAAATGTCTTTTAATATTAGAGTTTATATATGTGAATGTATATAAAGTTAAGGTTTTCAACTAAGAATTCATATATTTGATTTATGTATGTGTGATACATTTTGATACTCTCGTCAAGTTATATGTTTTGACATATAAGAGTGAATTGTATGGTCGGGTCAAATTGGGTCTTGCACTTATAATTATATGATAATATATGGTAAAATTAATCTAGAGTGTATATTCATTATATCACTTGCAATAAAGGTTAATTTTTGGTTATAAGTATAAGACGTGGTGATTTGTGAGGTGTGATATGCATGCATGAATAGTAGTATTACACTTATATATTGTGTAAATTTGGGGTATTTTAGCCTAAAGTGAATTTTGCTCTGATACTGGCGGCAAAGGCTAAAATATAGATAAAAGTGTGAGCTATTATTGTTTATGCATAATAATGAAGATTGTATGTTATAAGTTTTATAGATTTGGCCAAGGAATGAAATTTAAAAAATTTCATTTTAGGACCCTATTTATGTGAAAATGAGGCATATAGTGGTCAATTTTTTTTAATGTGTTTTTTATTGTTTAACTATTTAATCAAGTGTACAATGGTTCATTGAATTTAGTTCAAGTCTAAAAATGGGTTAATGGTATAATTTTTGAGTTTTTAGTACTTGGACGCTTAAAAATCATTTTAAAATCTAACTTTTACATCTGGGTGTCTAAAATTCTCATACGGTATCAGATTGGAACAGAACTTATACCATTAGTTAACTTATCGAATAAGCTTTGCATGGGTGCTTAAATGACTCCAATTAAATATTAGATGCAAAAATGGTGCATATTTAAAATTTATCCTAAAAAGCTATCATGACAAGGGCATGTGTGTCGCAGCATGTTGTGCACAAGCCGCGACACATGGCATAGAAGCCAAATTGCCCTCTTTGTACCACATGCCACAGTTTTTGGCCCTAGTTTGCTATGTTTTGGTTGCTTTTTCATACCATGCTTCTCATAACTTTAGAAATCAATAAGTTTGAGCTCAAACTACATATTTAAAGGGTTTTCTTAGAATTCCAAAGTTATTTTCAATTATATTTCAAATATTTAATTGTTTTAACCCTTCCATATTTATGGTAAGTTTATGAGAGATCAATGACTCTTAATTATCATTGTATGTTGTAATTGTGTGGTGATTATTGGTAATATCAAGGTGGGCATTACACCCTACATTGCCCCATTTGAAGAAAGAATTATATAAAATCAACGTAGCAAACCAAATGCCATTACAAGATCTAGAATGCATGTAACACTCTGATTTTTAATTCCCTAATTTACTAAGCTTAATTATGGTAATTAAGAAAATTATAGTGGCATGTGGCTAGGGAGGTTTAATGACTAGTTTCGATTGTGTTTTTAGCCTTAATTGTGGGTCTGCTATGAAGTTGGGCCACTTAGGCATCGAAAGGAAAAGAAAACAAAGATGAAGTATTGTTGTGCCACATGCTGCAGCATGAATCATCCATCGCGATGCACAAACACAACTTGTGCGAGAAGGGAGCCTCTCTATGCCATACACTGTGGCGTGTGTAATGTCTACCATTTCACATTGTCATTTTCTATAGTTTATCAATTGCAAATTAAGGTAGAAAAATAGAAAGAAGGAAAGAGGAAATGAAGAACCAGTAGGAAACTTAGCTATGGTTTATTGTTAGAGGATATTTGGGACATTTTGAAGTAGCGCTAAATACCAAAGGTAAGTACTCTAAACTCTATTCCTCCCTATCTCTTTCACATTTATGAATTTATGGTTAGAGTTTAATAGTAGAAGATGATTTTCAGTTTATATAGATTATGGGTCCAAATCCATTGACTCAAATAGAGTTAATAGGAATAGATTTGAGTGTCAAAGGCGGGAGCTAATGAATTTTGATATTTTTGGTTGTTGGGCTTTATAGATATCTAAAAATTGTATTTATAAGGGTTGTTGGAAGAGGTGAAATATCATTAATGAGAGTTTAATGGCTCATTAATGTTATTGGAAATTAAAGAGAGTTAATAAATCCCATGGGTAGGCCGAAACTCATACAAAGCGGGCATTGGGTAATCTAGAAGAGGAAGATAAGAGTTGAAATGTGTGTGGTTGATAATGTTAATGAGGGTTAACTTGGTACATTGTAGATTAACCTCTTGGACATTATTTTGGCTTGGGAATTCAAGCTTGGAGGCTATAAATATTGATGGGGTAAACTTTTAATCTCTCAAAGGTTTGAGGTAACTAGGGGAACCCTATTTTTGGGTAGTTATATATTAATTAATTTTAATTGTAAATAATGTGGATTGTCACATGCATGAGTTAATTTTAATGTGGAAACATGTTAATACTTTTTCTCTGTGTTTTTAAAATATGAATATGCATGATGTTACATTTTAGCTTGTATTCCAAATGCAAAATTGAGATATTTTTTGAGCTATGAACATGCATATATTTTTGAAAAGATGGATGTGATATCGGGTTAAGGTAAATGTGAGTAAATGAATAAATGGGTAATATAATGTTGTGTCAATTTGTAGCATCAATAGACCTATGAGGCAGTAGTGAGCTTAAGTGGGGAAAAGACCCTAGAGGGTATGATGAGATGTTTTACTTGAAGGTGAAAATAATGTTGAGAAAGTGAAATTTGTAAAAATAAATAGATATCGAACGTGGCATGATCAGTTGGTGGGAGTTCGCTTAGAGATTGTGTAACATCCTGAATTTTAAATTCTGTGTTAATGCTGATTAGGGATTGAATAATGTAAGATTAGTATTTTGGATAATGAAGTGTTGAATTGACTTGTTGGGATATTATATGAACAAATATGAGAGGAGGAATGAGGTCTTGTGGCAGAGTGTGTGATTGCAGTGAGAATTTTCCTCATTATGCCATGCGCTGTGACGAAGGATAAATATGCCACAGTGTATGGCACAAAAATTAGATTAATTAGGATGTGTCCTTCTCGAGAAATAGAAGACAAGAATAAGAGAGAAGGGTTCAGATAAGGAGGAGGGGTTAACATCTGTGAGGGCAAGCAAAATTAGGAGCAAGAGCGACGTTTCTGACTTGTTATTTATC